CATCCCTATATTATTTCATTTTTCTTTTTTTCCTTTCAACAGAAATCACAGTTCATTATAGATGTGGCCTTCCCTTGATAACACTTCCTTTACCATCCAGAAAAGAGAGGTGTCAGTTCGTTATCAAACCAATGCTATCAACAGTTGGTTCATTCCTTCAGGATATACAGAATGAAGATAAAGGTGTCAGAACTGCAGCTATCTTCACAACAGGTATGTTGTTATTATTAAGTGGAGTTGAGTCGGTTCTGACTCATGGTGACCTGTATAGGGTTTCTGAACAGCGGCTGGTGGGTTTGAACCACCAACATTATGGATAATAGTGCAGTCGTTGTCCTGCAGTGCCACACCAGGACTCCACACAGGTATAAATATGTGTGTGCATAGGTGTATATATTTATGTTTTACAAAGTGCTTCTTTGTTCTTTACATGTTAATTCAGTATATATTAATTTATTGGCCTTTACTGAGCTCTACATTTTGCACATCAGTATATATATATAACTTTTGAATAAAAAATTAATGAAGTAAGTTTAATGCGAGTTTCCATGTACTTACTCTATAAATTTAACCTGAAAATTTTTTCTCTGAGATTTTTCCCCCAAAAAGTAAAAAATAACTCATTTATTGTGAGATAATTTTTATGGTACTGGCATTATTAGTGTGTAATTTTCAGTAAAATTTGAATGGAAGCTCAATTATTAAAATAGTGTATAAATAAAATACAGAGAAAGCTAATTCTTCTTTGGTATAAAGCAAATATGGTCTAATATAGTTTTTGAAAGAATTCATTCTTAAATACTGACAAGGTGGCTAATCATTTGAATTCAGGATAAATCTTTTATGTTCTTGTCATCTGAAATAGCCTTAGCCTAATTGCCACTAAAATGGAATCATTTTTTTACCCCAACTTACAGAAGCTACCAATATAGATGAATGAATAACTTCATGTTGTTATTGTATGTGCCATGCTTGAATAAACTTTTAAAAAAGCAATCATAACAGCTGTTGTTTTGAATGGAAATAGACATTCTTTTTACCTATCCAAGTTGGGAACCAATTGTGGGTTACAGAGAAGTTGGAAAATTAAGATTAAAGGGTTTATTTATTCAGCAAATATTTATCGAGCAGCTTAAATGTACTAGGTTTGTTCTATATGCTTGTGATACAGGAAAGAACAAAAGACAAAAATTCCTGTCCTCTTGGAGCTTAAACTTAGCTGGAGAAAGAAAGAAATATGTTAGATGATGAGTATTATTGAGAAAAATAAAGCAAAAGAGGGGAATGAGAGTGTGTGGTGGCAGTAGTGTGTGTGGGGTGTGTGCTTGATCAGGTCACATAAGAGCAAAGATCTGGGGGAGATAAAGGATGGAGACATGTATATGAGAAGTGCTCTAAAGGGCGAGACCCTGGGTGTAAACCTTAGAGGATATAACTGGTATGGGATGGCTAGTTGCAGATGGAGGAGTTGAGCTGGAGAACTGAAGAAGGGCTTGTTGTTGTTGTTAGGTACCTTAGAGTTGGTTCAGACTCATTGTGTGTGAATCCTATGCATAACAGAACAAAACACTGCCCAATCTTGTCCCATCCTCATAATTTTTTCTATGCTTGAGCGCATTGCTGTTTCCACTGTGCCAGTCCATCTCTTTGGGGGTTCTTTCTCTTTTTCACTGATCCTCCACTTTACCCTAATCCTTCTTCAGGGATGGTTCCCTCCTGATAATATGTCCTAAGTATGAGAGAAGAAGTGTTATTGCCATCCTAGCTTCTAGGGAGCATTCTGGCTATACTTCTTGTTGTCCATAGTACTTAGAATATTATTCTTCAACACCATAACTCAAATGCATCAATTCTTCTAATGGTCTTCGTTATTTGTCTTCTTTATTTATTGTCCAACTTTCACAGGCATATGAGGCTACTGAAAATATCATGGTTTGGGTCAGGCACACCCTAGACCTCAAACTGACATCTTTGCCCTTGACCACTCTGAGGAGTTCTTGTGAGGCAGATTTACCTAGTGCAATATGTTGTTTCATTTCTTGACTGCTGCTTCCATGAGTGTTGATAGAGGATCCAAGCATAATGAACTATTTGACAACTTCAATCTTTTCTCCATTTATCATGATGTTATTTATTGGTCCAGTGGCAACCCAGGCTGAAGACTGTGGTCTTTGATCTTCATCAGTGAATATGTTAATTCGTCTTCGCTTTCCGCAAGCAAGGTTGTATCATCACCATATTTCAGGTTGTTAATGAATTTTCCTCCAATCTTGATGCCATGTTCTTCATATAACTCAGCTTCTTGAATTATTTGTTTTGTTCATCATACAGATTGAATAAGTATAGTGAAAGAATACAACCTTGGTGCACATTTTTCCTGATTTTAAACCATTCAGTGTTCCCTTGTTTTCTTTGAATGACTGACTATTCACAGGTTCCTCATGAGCACAACTAAGTGTTCCAGAATAGCCATTTTTCCGTCCTGGGAGACCCTGCTGGTATTTAAAATGCAACATGCACACTACTGCAGTACAACAAAGTGTCAGAATGGAGGAGGGGCAGATATGTGTAAAAGCCTTGTTGCTTATTGCCTTATTGTAAGGAATTTGGATTTAACTTGGAGCCCTTTTCTTTATAACAGCTGGGTTTTAGCCCTGTGGCTACAGTGGACTTCCTAATATTCTGTCTCTGAATTAGATATGCTCCCTATTTACAAGAGAACTGAAAATGGGTAAGCCCATGGGTCTTACCCACCAGGACAGTACTTGCCTTCCTTAGCTTCTAAGAGTAGGCCAATGCAGACTCAGAACTTAGGAAGGGGTTGAACTGAGCATAGTGTTTGCCTTGTGTCTTCAGGAATGAAATAAAAGTGGCTAAAACAGTGATTCGTGTTCACCCTGTATATTTCTAAAAATAATTTAGTAGCTTTGAATCATAAAGCAAAAAGATAGACTTGAAGTCTTATAGAAAAGAGCCTCTTTGGACTAAGCAAAAAAACATTATTGGGGTCTTAATTGACACACCAGCTGCTCCTCAGAAACCTGATACACAGGGTCACCAGGGGTTGGAACCATCTCTATGGCACTTAACAACGTCAATTGATGCTTGTCCCAGAACAAAAGGAAAATTCAGCCTGCATCTATCATTAGGTTCTTTAAAGTGTCTGAATCTTTAACTGTTCATGCATTAGTATAAAAGATAATATAGTATTTCAAACTGAGAAATCAGATGATTTCTTTTTATAGTAGAATTTCAAGAAGCTGGCTTGAAGTCATTTAAATGTAAAATTTTAAATGACACTTGCAAAGTCAGATGTGTTTTGCTTTGCTGAGCTTTTTTTTTTTTTTTTAAGGCGCTGTGGGTGGAATTTGCCTGTAGGCAAATCAATTTGGGGTTGAAAAGAGTGTTGTAAACTTGTCACAGTTTTGCCCATTGTGTGGGCTGAATTATTTGGCAATTCAAGGGAAAATGATCTCACCTCCAAGTGGTGAACAGGAACCCAAACAATCAAACTCTAGTAACAGATGCAGGTGCGGACTTGACTTGCTGCCTTCTGGAACAAAAGAGCTGCTGACAGCCAGACAGGAGTCAGGCCACCAGGCTCTTCCTGCGGTGCTACTCTGTCCTCATGCAGATTCATGGTTTTGAGATACTTCAGGTTGAATCTAGCTAAGCAAATGCCAGCCAAGGAGAAAATATCCATCCAGCATTTTTCTGGACATTATTTCACAGAATTCTATGTGGACTATTCGGAAGGAAAAAATGATACAGAAAAAGGAAATCCCTACCTACCTAGCTTCAATTTTTGCTTGTTCAGTGAGCTTGCTTTCTTAACAACTGACTTACATTGAAGTTTAGTTCACGTATATAATAGCAAAAACTAGGCTATAAATAAGACACAATTTTCCAAGAGATGTTCTTTTCTTAAATGTTCCTTGGGTATATGAAATTACTGCTACTATCTCTCCAGCCTTTCCCTCACTCCACAAAGTAAACCACATAAACAGATTTCTCAGGCTTCATTCTTTTTACTCCTAACCCTGACACTCCCATCTCTTAGCAGTTTTGCTGAGCTAGAAAGGGAGGTGAATCAGTGTTATAGTCGTTTTAGTGCTTTTTAGCTAACAAGTTTTTAACTAAAACAATCAATGTTGTTGTTGTTGTCAGGTGCCATCAAGTCGGAACCGACTCATAGCGATCCCATGCACAGCAGAACGAAACAATGTCCGATCCTGGGCCAACCTTACTACTGCTGCTACACTTGACGCCATCAATGATGCCATCTGGCCAATCCATCTTGTTAGGGGTCTTGCTCTTTTTCTCTGACCCTCCACCTTACCCAGCATGACATCCTTCTCCAGCGACTGTTCCCTCCGGACAATATGTCCAAAGTAGGAGAGACGAAGCTTAGCCATCTTGGCCTCCAAGAAGCACTCTGGCTGCACTTCTTCCAAAACAAATCTATT